CAATTCCTCATCCCAGAGTCCCTTTGAAACAATCGAGTTCAAAGGGTCCTTGGGGTATGTGAGCATGATCAGCTGTGAGAGTCTGGAGCTTACAGACACTCCAGTGTTGATGTAATGAGTGGAAATACAACCCACACAAGAGATTGAATGACTAGAGAGGTTGGAGAACAGTGAGATTGAAGGGAAAGTCTTCTAAAGGCGAAATGGTGGGTGGTACTGATGCTGCTGAGAGGCCAAGAAAGCTGAGGGCCAAACATGCCATGGATGATGGTGGCGAGAAAAAGTTCAGTCATAGAAGGGGACATCAAAATGTTTGTTCATTCTCTCTTAACCCCATTTTGCCACAGACTTTCCCAAGTCACTAGGTAGAAATCCAATTTTGGATTTAGAAGGAGAATGAAGGTGAAAGAGTGAAGAAGACATCAGTTATAAAATACTGTTTTCAGAGATGGGATTATAATTTCAAAGGGAAACAAGAGAAAATTGATGAAGCCTGTGCAGCTGTATTCATGAACTTTGTGAAGACCTATTGCATGTGTGGTCTTTTCTAGTATGTGATGTCCTTCTAAAGTAATAAGAGTGTGTGTGTAGGTGTTTCCAGATAGAATATATCTGTGGCGCTGCAGGATAATGCACTGGACCGCAAGGTTGGTTAGAACCAAAAGGTCAGCAGTTCAAACTTACCAGCTGCTCCTTGGAAACCATATATGGGGTCACTAGAAGTTGGAACTGACTCAACAGCACATAACAACAGCATATGATAAAGTAAAAATCAATAGAGAAGGCGAGAGAGGGAATATTAGTGGACCAGGGTCTTTGTAGAAGCAACAGAATGGGATTCTGGGAGTAGGTGGTAGGATTATCCTGAAGCAAGTAGACTGGCAGGCATGAGATAAGACTGAGTCTGGATATATAAGCAGACTTTAGACACTGTGAGAAGTTCAGGAATACCTTTTTGATGGTCTTGACTGTGGAGTGTGTGCACATGCGTGTGTGCATATGTTTAGGTATGTATGTATGTGTGCAAGTCCATCCTGGAAAGTTAGAGTGGAATGGATCATTGTTGAAGTTTTCTGGGTGTGTGAAGCAAAGCTAAAAAGAGACAAGGAAAACAACGATGTTGTCAAGAAAAGGAGTTTCAGCAACTTTGTTTTTGTTAAGTGCCGTTAAGTCGATTCTGACCCATAGCAACCCTGTACAGGCTTTCCAAGGAGCACCTGGTGAGCTTGAACCACTGACCTTGCAGTTCAAATGGCTTTGCAGTCTGACACATTAGCCCACAACACCACACGCAGAATAATTGATGCCTTTGAGTTACGGAAGATTACTGAAAATACTGTGGACTGCTAGAAGGACAAACAAATGTAACTTGGATGAAGGACAACCAGAATGTTCCTTAGAAGCCAGGATAGTAAGATTTTTGTCTCTCGTCTTTGGACATATTATCAGGAGGGACCAGTCCCAGTACCTGGTGAAGGACATCATGCTTGGTAAAGTGGAGAGTCAGCCCAGGGTTGTACAGATGAGGAAATGGATATCCAGGTTGTAAGTGACTTACTTGAATTAGATTGCTTCTCAGGAGGAGACACTGAGGGAGAAACTCAGGTAGTCTTCCCCCACCCAGATCCTGCTTTTACTTTGGTTTCTCAGGCATTTCTTTATACCAAGGAACCCCAATCTGTCTTTTAACATTCTGTGGTTGGGACTTTCTTTAGTACTTTTTACTAAAAAGCTAGTTTGAGTAAATATCAAGTAGTTTAACATATCTATCTCTAACAGTACAGCTGCAGACAGAGTGATCTTTATAGTAGACATCTCCAGACTATGAATGTTACCCCCATATTCAGTTACTGATATCATGTTTGGTACAACAGAGGGTTGGAGAAAAAGAGGAAGACCCCCAATGAGATGGATAGGTATAGTACAGCAGCAATGGGCTCAAATAGTAACAACAGTGAAGTTAGTGACAGACTGGGCAGTGTTTCATTCTGTTGTGCTTGGTCACTAAGAGTCAGTACTAACTTGATGGCACCTAACAACAACATTCAGTTACTATTAAGATAAAGCATATAAATAATTGAATATACATTAGTTACATGTCTTAAGATAGTACATTACATCACTCCTAGTTGATGGAGAAGGAGCTCATGTTTGGTAAGGTGGAGGGTCAGAGATAAAAAGGAAGACCCCCAGCAACATGCATTGGCAAAATGGCAGCATCAATGGGCTCAAGCATGGCAACAATTGTGAGGTTGGCCCAGGATCAGGCAGTGTTTCGTTCTGTTGTGCGTAGGGCGCTATGAGTCGGTACCGACTCGATGACACCTAACAACAACAACAACAATTAAAGATGATGGGGTCCTGGTGTGGCGCTGTGGGATCAGCACTCGACTGCTAACCAAACCAGCCACTCCTTGGAAACCCTATACATAGTTGCTATGATTTGGAACAAATTCAACAGCAACAATAAAAAAATGTATTACTTATAACATAAGAGATAGAAAGCTGAAAGCATGGGCTTCCATTATTCAGTGGAATAATTTCTTCTAAGAAATGAATAGGAGGAAATTTTATCACCTGTTGTTGTTAAGTGCCGTGAGTCAGTTCCAACTCATAGCGACCCTCTTTAAGGTTTCCAAGGAGCAGTGGTGAGCTTGAACCATTGACCTTGCAGTTCAAACTGACCTTGGGGTCTAGCGCATTAACCCATAGCACTGTGTTTCTCTTAAAGTGGTTCTAGCTTCCCCTTTACATTATAAACATGTAAATTAATTTCTGTGTGACATGGGCCCATATATGGTAAGCACCCGACTACATCTGAAAAATTACTCTCTATTGATTTAATATTGTTTAAATAAAATACTTTATGACATAATAGTCAAGCCTTTAATGAAGGTATTAAACACAACTTTGGGAGATGACTGTTAAGCTCTCTTTTTTGGTATTGGAGTACTTGGGTGGTGCAGACTGTCAGCACCCAGGATTGCTAACCGAGAGCTCAACAGTTCAAGTCCATCCACATAGTCTGCTTCCCACCGCCAGCCAGTTAAAATCCTTGGCTATAGTCTCTGGGGCACCATGGTCAATTGATATAACATAGTCCACAAAGACAATGTTCTGCATCCTACTTTGGTAAGCAGCGACTACCATCTTAAAAGCTCATGAGTGGGCATCTGAGATGCAACTACTGGTCTCTCCCTATGAAGAAGAAAGATGAGTGCTGAAAATTGAAGCCTCGTGGAAACAATCGGTCCATTGGACTAATGGACATCAGTCTCGATGACCCAAAGACAAGAACTAAATGGTGCCCAGTGCCTGCTGCCATAATCAATTGCTCTGAAAGGGATCACTTTAGAATAGATAATGTGATGTTGTTGTTATGTGCCGTGGAGTCAGTTCTAACTCATAGCGACCCTATACAGGGTTTCCGAGGCTGTAAATCTTTACAGGAGCAGGAAGCCTCATCTTTCTTCCACAGAACAGCTGGTAGTTTTGAACTGCTGACCTTGTGGCTCGCAGCCAGCTTTGTAACCAGAGCTCCTTAGATAGTGTGATAGAGGGGAAGAAAATGTGTAAAAAACTCAAAATCGTAAGAAAGACCAGGTTTACTGGTCAGATTAGAGTGTGGTGGAACCCCGAGAGTATGGTCCTTGATCATGCTACAGGTTTAGAACTAAACTCATGTCCATGATTCAACTTTCAGGCAAGCAGTTGGTAGGTAGAGAGGGGTGGTAACAGTGCTCATGAGGTGTGCACGATAAAGAATGGTCAAGGGCAGCATTTACCTATGGACAAAATTCCAAAGGATTGGGGGAGAAAGGGAATGGAAACAGGAAACATACAGAGGAAATGGGATAAGTGATATTACGTTGAAGAGATTGAAATCATTGAGAGTAAACAAAATATATGATTTGTTGGATGTAACACTGATAATCTGCTCTGTAAACCTTCACTCGGTTCACATTAAAAAGTTAAAAAAAAAATATTCCAGCAACAGACAAACAAGCAAACAAACAAAGCCCTATGGATAAACCAAAATGTCCCCTGAAATCTTCCTAAAACCAAACATTAGTGTAGCTTAGCTAGTAAAAACTATGTGTCTTGTACATAGTAAACTTTTAAGAAAGCATATAATGCTAATTTCTCCAGTGTGTTATTGACAACCCTAACTGGAAGTTTAGGTAGATACCTTAAAGGACAGTAAGTGTCTCTTGATGGTAGGGAAATAACTCAAAAAGGAGGAGGTGAATGATTATGAAAAGAATGCAATCAATGTCGTGGAATTGTACATGTAGAAACAGTTGAATTGGTATGTGTTTTGCGGTGTATATTTTCAACAGCAGCAAACTAGAATTTTTTTTTTTTTAATTGCAAATAAAAAAAACAAAAACCTATAGTATACAATCCTACTCTGACACATAAGGGGTTGCCATACGCCAGAATCAAGGAGCTCTGGTAGCGTAGTGGTTAAGAATCGGGCTGCTAATCCCATGGTCAGCAGTTCGAAACTACCAGCTGTTCCACGGGAGAAAGAGGAGGCTTTCTGCTCCTGTAAAGATTTACAGCCTCGGAAACCCTGTACAGGGTCATGATGAGTCGGAACCGACTCCACAGCTCATAACAACAATAGAATCAGTTCAAGGGCAAGGGGTTTGAGTTTTGCACTATGTCACTTAATCAACCTTTAAATAGAAGTTTGGCATTGAATAATCTCTATATTTCTGTTTCACAAAATAGAATGAATTTTGGCAATCCAAAATATTGAAAAATCAGTTTGTTTAGCTAAACCCAATTTTGAAAGGAATCACAATGTGCTTTTGATATGGTGATTAAACTTTCATTCTTTTTTGCCACTTGTATTTACCAGTGTTACAAGTTTGCAGTCCCCAGAGAAGGCTGTAGAGCTGATACTTTTCATCTACCTGACAAATCGTAGCTACATCCTGTTAGGCTAAACCCCGCCTTCCTTTTGAATGCAGTGCTGTGCTTCCCACTCACAGGACATTGCTTACTACCAAGCCTTGTCAGCTGAGGGGTTGCAGACGGAGGCGGCAAGGATTCACCCCAGTGCCCCCTCACCCCAAGAGTTCTACGAGCCAAGGCTAGAGTCCTCCACCACAGCTAAGCTGGACGATTTGCAGCGTTCTTGGGAAACCTTAAAGAATGTGGTAAGTTTTCACACCGTGGAGTTGTTGAACCCACCTAGCACCAACTACCTTAGTAGTTGTCTTATGAAATACATGCATGGAGTTTCTGCATCCAGTATACAGTTGAAGAGCCTCTCTAGGACCACAAGGGTTCAGCAGTGATGAAACATGTTGTAATCGGGAAGATAAGGGGCTGGGAAACATTTGGTAACATCCCTTTTCTTGTCTAGATCAGTGAAAAGCAGCGTACACTCTATGAGGCTTTGGAACGCCAACAAAAGTACCAGGATTTCCTTCAGTCCATCTCAACAAAAATGGAGGCCATTGAGATGAAGCTCAACGAGAGTCTGGAACCTGGCAAGAGTCCCGAGAGCCAGATGGCCGAACACCAGGTAAAAACAGTTATGACTTCAGTTTCCTGCAAGATTAGATAGGTGCAGTCTTGTGACGGGTCCGCCCAACAGGCATGTGTTTTAGAGATCAAACTGACATTCTTCAAATCTATCAGCAGTTACAGAATCAACAAGATTCCAAATGGAATGACTGTGTCAGTCCCTGCTTTGGCAGAGGACGAAGTAAGAGGAAAGATAGAAATTCAAGCTGGATTCTAATGACAGACATCTATCTGCATTGGTTATTTTTTGTTTTTTGGTGTTTTGTTTAACTTTCCTTTCACAATGCGTGTCTCCTGATATTTGCCAAATTATTTTGATTTTGTTAGAAGAATAAAATGTAGCTCAAAGCTACCTTCTGTAGGTATAATGGTAAGGAATTTCCCTGATAACATTTCTGCTGCCATCTAATTGGTGGTGGTGGTTATGTGCCAAATTAGGGTTATGTAAAACACGAAGTTTCAGACTTTGGTGGACAAAGAAGCCTGGGGTCATCCTGAGGCAGAATTGACTCAACAACTAAGACCAACCACAACTTATTGTCTGATTTGTCCTGACTTGAATTATATTAAAAGGTTACAGAAACTGGGCAAAGGTTCAACTTTATATGTGAAGCAAACCTAACGCAGAAAGCTAATGTAAAACATGCGTCTGTTCCAAACGGATACTAAGAATTGTGCTTGGTTACAATCTGTTAATGCTTTGGCAGTGTTCTCAGGCGTGATGTTATTCCCGAGTCAGCTCTCAGTGATGGCAGGAGGGTGTGAGGGTAGCAAGACTGTGTATTCACCTGAATATCCAGAGCCACCACAATGGAGTGGGCTATTCTGTTTGCATCCTACCTTAACCTAAGTTGACAAGTCTACAAAAGGCACTGGAAAAGATACATATATATTTTTTTAATAAACCTTATTTTTTAGAGAAGTTTTAGAATGATAGTAAATTGTGCAGGAAGTACAGAAAAGTTCTGTATGCTTTTCCACCACCCTTCCCTGCTGGAATTTCTCCTCTCTTGCTAGCATCTTGCATTGGTTACAATTGATACAAAATACTAATCCATTAATATGTAACGAAAGCCCATGGTTAACATTTGCATGTACTCTCAGTGTTGTGCACTCTTAATGGTTTTGTCCACCTGTCCACTCTCATGCAGAGTGATGTCACTGTCCTTACAGCGGAGGCATTGTGGATGCACATTATAAACAGGGAAAGCTTGATGGTGGTAGGTGTGTCTAGAAAGTATGAGGAAATGTGTCATTCACTCTAAGAGTGAAACACTGTAATTTAGCTTTCCTCTCACTTAAATCTCTGTACTTCTGTAGCCCAGGATAATTTTGGAATACATTCCTATTTCATATCTTGTTTTGTTGTGAAGTGCCATCGAGTTGGTTCTGACTCATAGAGACCCTGTATAGGGTTTCCAAGGAGCAGCTGGTAGGCCTGAACTGCAGACCTTATTGTGTGCAGTTCAGTGCTGATTCTACAGCGCCACACGAGGCTGGGATAAAATGGCATTTTGTGTGTGTGTTATCAAGAGCCCTTGTAACCCAGTAGGCTCAGTGTTAGCCTGCCAGATTGGGGGTTCAGACCCACCAACCTCTCTATATGAGAAAGATGAGGCTGTCTGTGCCCATAACAATTTTTTCGGAAATCCTAAGGAGTCCTGGTGTGGTACTGCAGGCTAATGCGCTGGACTGCAAAGTCAGTTTAAACCACAAGGTTGGTGGTTCAAGCTCACCAGCCACTCCTTGGAAACCCTACACAGGGTCGCTATGGCTCGGAACCAACTCAATGGCACTTCACAACAGCAGTGGCCACAAGGAGCAGTTCTACTCTGTCCGTAGGATCACTGTGAGTTAGAATCACGTGGAAGGCAGTGGCCTTTTGTTTCTTGTTTTTGTGTTTCGTGATATCAAACCTTTCAGTATAGCAAGACTCTCAGAATGCTTTATCTCGAGGTAGCATATTGAGAAATAGTGGGTTCAGGGCTGTGACACTCTTGTTGTAACTTCTTAAGATAAGGATCAAAACACACGACATCTCCTGTAGTTTTTTCTTCTGTACCACAGTCACCCAGACTCCTCCTGAGTTGGAAAGAGGCTGTTGGGAAAGGCTGAAATTGAACTGAGCTTTGCTTACCTGGAATCTGTTGGTGGTGCGAAGGGTTGATGCATGTTGCTGCTAATGGAACTCCTAGAGGTTCGTGTCCTCCAGAGGTTTTCTGCCGTAGTGCAAAGGGCTGGCGATCTAATTCTGAGAAAATCAGCCAATGAAAACCCTTTGTACCACAGTTCTCACACACATGGGGGCACCTGGAGTTGTAATCAACCCAACAGCAACTAGTTTGGTCATCATTTTTAGTTTTGTTTACCTGAACCAAACCAATCATGGGGACCATCAAGGACTGGGGTGAAGAGAGCAATGCTGATTTTCTCTGAGTTCCACCCATTGTACCCCCAGGCCTACTCCTCCCTAGAAAGTCTCAGCACCTCGTAGTCCTGGACAGTGGAGATTCCAGTTTTCCTATTGTCCATGGTGTCCCGGTGTGCTCCATTGTTCTCCTTATTCTTAGACTGTCCTGTAGTCTGTCTGTCTGACCGCCCCCTGCATCTCTGCTTCAAGATGCCTGGAAAGGCAGGAGAGCTTCCCACAGGGACACAGAGCCTCAGCCTGGCTCCTGAGGGGCTGTTCTCCAAGGACCACGTCCTGTAAACATCCAAAAGGACTACATGTCCATCACTTCCCGGCTACATTGGACTGGATTTGAGTTACAATCTCTGTTCCAGAAGGGGGTCTGTGTTATTTGGTTCTTCCTGTAGTCATTATCTGTGTGGTCCCCATTGCTCTCAAAGACCTTTCACTGGGTCCCACAGGATTCAGAAACTTCACACAAAAAAAGTCCTGGTGCTGACTGCCATTGCGGAGTGCCTAAATCAGAAAGGCAAATTAGCTCTTAACCACCACCATTTTGTCTCTCAGTCATTGGCATGAAAATAAGCAAACCAAATGTAGGGCAAAATGCCTGTTTTGTTCAAGGGATTGAATAGTGAAAATTCAAAATTTCAATTAGAAATGAATTTGTGACTTATCTTGTAATTAATTATGGCCAACCTTGGGACTTTTTCTGTCTGAGTGAGGAGTGGGCAGAGAGGAGAGTCATCGAATTCAATGAGGCAACCTTGTCCTTGGGGATATACTTAGGAAGTATATCCATACAGTAAGGAGAGGGAGAAGGTTAGTCAACAAGAAATAATTTAGGATCATTTGCTGTATTTTCAAAAAAACCTAACACTTTGCTGTGACCTACTTTTGCTCACTTCTCCTGAAAATACCCAGTTCCACAAAGATCTGAGGCAGAGCTACCCACACAAAAATCCTACAGCCATCACAGATACCAAAATCTGTTTCTTAGCTTCTGGAAGGCGCCTTCAAAAAAACCAAACAAAAACACAGGCACTATTATAAGATGACTGCTCTAAATCACAACTGAATGAAGATGAAAACAGCCAGTCTGCCTTCTCATCTCCTAAATATCAGTAGAAACACTTTGATTATCATTTATTTTCCTAACACTCTCGAATGTATTCATGTTGCTTTAAAGAGCTAACTGAATTCCAAACTTTCCTCCCTCCTAACATTTGTGTAAGTTGACTGACCCGGGTGTTGGGCTGTGCCTTTCCTGGTGTTCTCTCTCAATTGTCCCCTAGATCTAGTCCTGCTGTAGTGCTGTGGGTTAATGCACTGCACTGGAAAGTTGGTTTGAACTGCAAGGTCGGAGGTTCAAGCTCACCAGCCGTTCCTCGGCAAACCCTATTCCAGGATCGCTAAGGGTCAGAACCGACTCGATGGCACTTCACAACAGGATTGATTCAGAGGAGGGGTGCTGTAGGATAAGCACTGGACCACAGGGGTTGTTAGAACCACAAGGTCAGCGGTTCAGACTTACCAGCCACTCCTCAGAAGTCCTATTCCCGGTGTGGCACTGTGGGTTAATGTGCTGGACTGCAAAGTCAGTTTGAATCTTAAGGTCAGCAGTTCAAACTCAACAGTCACTCCTCAGAAACCCTGTACAGGGTCTCTATGAGTCGGAACTGACTCCATGGCACTTAACAATGACAGTGCTTTGGAAGGAGCCCTCATTAAAGTATTGGGCTGCTAACCAAAAGCTTGGTTGTTAGAATCTACCAGAAGCTACATGGGAGAAAGATGAGGCAGTCAGCTCCTGTAAAGATGGACAGTCTTGGAAACCCTGTGGGGAAATTCCGTTCTGTCCTTCGGGGTCACTGGGAGTCAAAATTGACTGTGAGTTTGGTTTGATTTTGTAGGACAACAAATAGTTTGAAAGTGGATTGGCAGCAGGAGTGTGTGTGTAGGGGGCTTATGAATGGAAAAGTGTGAGAAAAGCCATGGAAGGGAGATGGAGATGGAGGGAGATGTGAGGACTGCCTGGGGCGTGGCTGCGTGTGCTGGAGGGTCACGCCTGAGAGACACTCAGGCCTGCCTCGTTTAGTGAGCTTCCCTTACTGCGCTCCACAGAGGACCCGTTTTCACTGGAGGTTGTGACAGCCCTGCCTCCAGCAAGTCTATGGGAGCCTCATCTTTCCAGCAGCCTGTGCTCAGTTGCTATCTCTGGATCACATTTTGGTAATTCTCACAAGTGTTTCAAACTTTTTATAGTCCCCAGTAGAGCGTAAACATAACTTTTATATGCACAGAGCTTTAGTTCATTAGACTATTCAGTTATTTAAAGTAGGGTTTAGAAAGGAGCCTACAGTATCTCCAAGTTATGCCTGCAAGCCTGGAGAAACATTTAAAGTGGAATAGGAATCTCATACAAGCCCTGTAATAAGCCTGGGTATTAATACTAACAGACAAGTTTTTGGGCACAAGACAATAGCATCAATCTATAATAACCTATAAATCTAAAAATGTAATAATCTATAAATATCTATATTTATAGATCTATAAATGTTTTATAATTATAAATTTTATATTTTATA